TCTATTGCTTCATTTTGTGGCTCCATGTCTTAGCTAAACGAGGCTCTCACTGCCAGTGTGCACAGCAAGTTTCCATGTGTAACTGTTCAGGAGTGCTGGCACAGACCTGGGTTTGCCTGACAGGCTGTGCTCCTCAGGAAACCCAGTACGGAGTGCGGCTCACTTGCTGCAGGAGTCACTCCTGGCCGGAGTCCAGCCCCATGCACAGCATTCCTCGGAGTCTCTGCAGCGGGGCCCAGCTGGGACCAGCACAAGGCACTGCTGCCCCAGGGCACCACTTGCATCTCTCCTTTGCTGGGCTTCCCAAGCTTTCCAGCAGTCCCATGCTCCCCTTTGTGGTGGTCCCTCCAGGTTTGGGCCCTGTGTCAGCCACTCCCTCTAGTTCAGCCCTACCATCATCCCAGAGCACCAATCCTGCACATCTCCCACGCTGTATGGCCAATCCTATTTCCATTATGCTGCTCACACCAAATTCCCGAGTGGGGCAGTGAGTGGGCAGCGCCCTGAGGGAATGCTCAGAGGTGGTGTTCTGCTCTGAGAGAGCCTGCTCTGCCCATCTGCACCTGCCCCTGTGGCACCTCACCTGCTGCAGGTCCTGTTCCCCGCAGGAGCCAGGGGAGCTGCTGGGCTGTCAGGCAAGCATGCTTGGTGCCCTGCCTAGGTGGAACCCTGCTGGATGAAGACTAAGACTGCCCACGGCTCTTGCCCCAATTTCTGGCTTGAGACATGGCCTATTTTCAAGCCACCATGATGTTTTGGTTTTTTCTACAGAAGAATGACCACAACAGCTAACTCAAGTCTCCCACATGATCCTGGCTATATCCGTGTGATCCTCTCAGCAAGCAATTCTTTCCCTGATGCAGCCACAAGTTCCCACAGAAAACTCAACAAAGGGATGAGAAGCTGCAGTAATTTGGAAAAACAGCACCAATACTAAACAACCAGGCCACTGATAGAGAGTGAAACTGCCCCCACTAGACAAGGCGAGTGAACAGCTGGTGAAAAGATGCAGTATCCTTGTAGAATGTTGTTTTCCAGCCTCCCTTCTGCCACATGGAGTGGTCATACTCCATGTCCAGCTGCACATCAGTTCTCCCTCAGGGGTTTCACCTTAGTCCCCACACCACAATCTATCCACAAAGTGTTTCCAAAATCCATGCAATCGCCTCCCTGTTTTTGTCTCCCACACATGAACTCCAGTAAGGTGCAAAATATCTTAAGCACAGTCACTCTGGATACTTCTTTGTGGAATGTGCTCTGAAAGTGCATGAATGATGCCATGCCATCACCTCTCTTATTCCAAAGGGCTCAGGCTTATGCTCCCCTCTCAGATCTTAACCACAAACTGCAGGTAGGGCACCTTGTCACAAAGTATCATGAGGTGCCTGGCTGTCATGCTCTCCACACTTCTACAAGGTCCTGGCACCAAACACACAGCCAATAAAAACCCCAAACTTGCCATTCCATGACAGGTACATCTGAGCTTGGGGTGACGGCTGTGCCATGGATATGTGCTCTCACTTCATTTGCATTCAGCCAGTATGATCTGGGATTTTGATTTTGCCAGACCTTTAACTTGGAACACATTAAATACAGCCCTGTAGTTCCTGGGACACAGAGGCAAAAGTTTTCCTCACCTCAGAGAGGAATTCTGACATAGAAACAAAACTATTAATGTGCTGCACATGAAGGGGCTGTCCACACATTTAGCGTCCACTTCCCTTTGTCTGGTTGAAGTGGAAGAAGCAGCTCAGGTCCTAGGACTACGGAAGAGCAGGGTGTCCCCACCCTCTACCCCTGAGGGAGCTCAGTGGTGTGGTTTGTAACAGGGCAACTGTGTGGGGAGTGAAGTGGGTTTTTTTTCCATGGGTGGAAATTGCTCTTGGAGACCCAAGCAGATGGGATTTTGGTTGGGGTAATTCTCTAGCAGCTACCAGCACTAAAAAACTCCATTTTTGAGAGGCCAAGGCACAGTGCCCTTTTGCCGGGTACAACTCTGCGGTGCAGTGGTCTCACAATCCACGACTGCTTTGCCCAGCTGAAGGCTGCAGACCTTAGTGTCAGCAGGCTCTGAGCTGAGAAATTTAGACAGAAAAAATTATAACTCTAAACTTTGTCCCAGAGAGCAAAAGAAAGTTCAAGTGATAGATTCCATATGGGTAATATTATGTAGATATCATACATATTTGATTGTATTATGAACTCCATTATGAACAGGTTTAATTAATGCATGGTGTTTTCCATCCTACTTACTCTTGTCTCTCCTGCAGCATGATGGAATCAAAAGAGATAACAATGCTTCACAAATACAAACACCAACTGTTCTGCTCCAGCAACAGGCACCACTTGACTTACAGATGAAGGAGATCAGCAGTCTAAGATCCAAGAGGGCTAGCTGGAGTTTCATGTTCTCCATAGTTCCCTCTCCATGGGAACTGGTACTCAAAAGAGACACCAATGCTCAACACAAGACATACTCCTGCTCCCACAGTAGAGACTTAAAAGTGTTTTTAAACAGGTTTATGATAATGTCAGATTGAGAGTAGTCTCCAGGGCACTATGTTATACAACTAACACTTCACTCCCAAATATTGGCACCACAGTTTAAGCTGTGTGATGTGGAAAGGAGAAGGGACGAGAGCCAGCACATGCTGTTTGGGTATCCATTTCAGTCTGCTTCGGGCCCTGCCAAGGAAACTGCTTACTTTGGAAAGGATTTTCAACACCAGCAGGGAGGGTAAAAGCAGCTGTTCAGCACACCACCCGTCCTCAGTACACACCTCTTTTATTCCCCATCCTCTACAAGTGCAAAGCAAAGCACGATCTGACTTTGCCCTCTGGAGGCATGGAATTGGCATGGCACAGAGAGACTCAGTCCCAGAGGTGACTGAACTACAGCACTGCCTTTTGGAACATCTGATAGGAAAATCTATTCCCAGCTGCAGCATCCCACAAGCCAGAAGGCAGAGCATTACTGATGAGGCAGCTTCATACTGAAGGAGATGGGTTTTGTTTTGTACAGGGTACTACTACCCTAGTCTGCTGTGCGCTTCAAGAACTTGGGTGTTGGTACAGGAGGTTGATTTTTTTTTCTCTTGACACAAACTCTACAGCATGTGATTTGAAATTCTGCTCAGTGTCTGCATCCAGCTACTGGACATGCTACATGCACATGTGAGTCCACAGCAAGTACCACTTCATGGTTTATTCTGCTAGCTCCACAGGACTTTCTGCTGTCTCCCAGATTGCTGGGAGGCTGCAGAGATAAGGAGGTGGCTGGTCCTGGGCCCCTTATTTAGCTGGGGTTTGCTGCATGGAAATGGTGCTCTCTCTCTCTCTCTCTCTCTCTCTCTGAAACACACACACACACACACACACACACCACACACCAGATTTTTCTCCAAGCAGATAAACAGCTCAACAACTCTGTTGGACACCTCCAAGCAAGCTGTGTTTCACTAGGATAAACAGCTCTTAACTCCTCTTTCTCCCTTAAAAAATAATTTGTGTAGTGTGGAACATACCCTACACTTTGGAAAAGCTTCCCCTACAAAGACAGATTCAGCAGTGCACTCGTGACTCAAGTTCTGGAAGAACTAGCAGGAGACACCAAGACATGGGCAGGATCAGGTGTACAGCCATGCACAGAACCTGCACACCAGTGCATATATACCTCTCTGCACACACATCTGCCTACATCTGTTTCTTGCCTACATGCCCAGACGCAAGCCTCGGGTCCAACCACACACCTGTGTGTGCTGGCATTGTTTTGTACACACACTCGCCTGTCACAAACCTGACACAAACTTGACCTGTGGCACATCCACAAATTCTCACTCACATCCTCACCCCCACACCAGTGCCCTTGCACACCCATGTAGCCATGCACGTGCACCCTGCCATGCACACACATGCCTGTGCACACCTGCACACACTTTCCATCTCACCTTCAGGACGTCCTGTCCTGCCATCTCCTTTATATTCTGGCTTGCAAGGACCATCACGCCAGCAGGTGAGGAGGCTGTGCTGTTCCCAGCCCTGTGGGTATGTGTCACAGGGGTCCAAGTCATGGGCAAGCATTCCTCACCAGCTGGCACACTCAGCTGGGGTCTGACCCTCACCCCAAGTATCTGAGCAAACATGAGGGAGTTGGCAGGTATGTCCCAGCATCAGCCTGTGGAGAGCCTGGCATCCTTCCTGGTTGGATGGTGGACCTGTGGGGTCCTGTGGCATAAGGATTAGGGACAAGCAGGTCAGCTCAAGTGTCAGCCAGAGGCACGGGAGCTTAGCCCTGTGCCAAATCGCTGCTGGGTACCAGCTAGGAGGGCTCTAACCTTAGTGCATTTACATAGCACTCGGCAAGCAAACCGCCTAGCCTAAGCCCGCACTTACTATCTCTCCCCACTCAGATCTGTCACCGGCTGTTTTTTCCAGCCTAATTTGTTTCGACAGCTTGATTTCCGCCAAGAATTGTTGGGCTCCCTGGGCAACGTAGCCCGGGGCCGAGTGTCCGGCGCGGACGGCAGCAGCATCCCCTCGGACAGCGGCGGCCGCTCATCGCTGCCACCTCCCCGCCGCCGCCAGCACAAGCGGCCCCGACGGCGGCCAGCCCTCCGGGGAGGCGCGTTAAATGCCCGTGCCCGGACACCCCCACCGGGATCCCGGAGACGACCCAGCTTCGCTCGGTGCCCGTCAGGTCTCCGGAGCTGTGCGCTCCCGACGGCGGCGGCTCCGCGGCGCCCCGAGGGCGCTGGAGACGGGGACCAGCGGAGAAGGGCGGGAGGGGGGTGCCGGGCCGGGCGCTGCTCCTACCCGCGGCGGCAGTGGCGGCACGCCCGGCCCTGCCCGCGCCTCCCGGGCGGCGGGGCGTAGCAGGGGGAGTGCCGGCCGCCCGGGCGCGGAGCCGCCGGACACCGCCGCATAAAAGCTGCGGTCGTGCCGCGCTGCGCTTCCTCGGCTCGGCTCGGCTCGGTCCGGGGCGGAGCCGCTCCGACGGCCACATGACAGCCGAGAGCCGGCTGCCACCGGGCCCCCCGCCGCCGCCCCCGCCGCTGAAGGCGGACGCGGTGCCGCCGGGAGAGGAGGCGGCGGCGGCGGCGGGGCCGCGGGGCGGGCGGCGCCGCCGCAAGCGTCCGGCGGAGCGGGGCAAGCCCCCGTACAGCTACATCGCCCTCATCGCTATGGCCATCGGGCAGGCGCCCGAGCGGCGACTGACGCTCGGCGGCATCTACCGCTTCATCACCGAGCGCTTCCCCTTCTACCGCGACAGCCCCCGCAAGTGGCAGAACAGCATCCGCCACAACCTCACCCTCAATGACTGCTTTGTCAAGGTGCCACGGGAGCCCGGCCGCCCCGGCAAGGGCAACTACTGGACGTTGGACCCTCACGCCCGCGACATGTTCGAGAGCGGGTCCTTCCTCCGCCGCAGAAAACGTTTCAAGCGCAGCGCCCTCCCCCCCTCCCCGGCCTTCCTCGCCGAGCGCCCCGCCGCTCCCTGCCGCCCCGCCTTCCCCCCCCGGCCCCCCCGCCGCTCCCTGCCGCCTCCTCCCGCTGCCCGCCCCGCCGCCCCCCGCCGACCTGTCCCCGGCACCCGCCGCCTCCTCCTGCGCCTTCGCCACAGCCTTCCCCGCGCAGGGCTGCGCCTCCGCCGCTCTCTCCCACGCCTACGTCCCGCTGCCCACCGCTCCCGGGCCCTACGCGCCCGGAGGCCACGGGCCGCTGTACGCGCCGTCGGGGCGCATCGTGCTGCCCGCCTCTTCGCCCGGCCCCCCCGCGCTCTACGGCCGCCGCTCACCCGCGCCCTTCCCGCCGCTGCCGCACGCCTACGGCGCCGCGGGGCAGCTGAGTGCCGCCGAGCCCGCACCGCGGCACGGCACCTACCCTGGAGGCCCCGACAGGTTCGTCCCGGCTCTCTGACCTATCCCGGAGAGGCCCGACAGAGCGGACCGGAGCCCGGGAGACGGCGGAATGCGGGGATCGCCCGGCACGGCTGCTCCCGGCGCTGCCCGGGAAGATGCTGAAGAACCTTGGGCTGCACCTACGCATTCTGCCATCTGCCCAGGCTTCCTGGCGAGGAGTGTCGCAGTGAGCCCTGGGGACCCGGGGTGTCCTGTCCAGCCCTGTCCGCTCTCGGCAGAAAAGTCCTAAGGACTCCTAAGTACTTGGATGGGGCAAGCAGTTTCTTCTTCTTCTACAGCCTTTCCTGGAGCAGGTGCTCAAAGCTTCCTGCCAGGCTCCCACTCTCCCGGCACACCCAACCGGGCCCCTTCTGGTCTACCCAGGAAGATTTCACGTTTAAAATTCTCTCTGCTGTTGATGTTTTTTTTAAAGAGAATTAAATGTTTGTTGGTGAGGTGAAGGAGGGAGGCAGCAGGAATCATTCCCTGACCTCGTGCAGGCAAAGCTGTCAAAGCAGAATGTGTGGCACTGATGCGGTGGCTTGTCCCTGATGGCTCTTACTTTAGCCCCAGGCTTTACACCAGCAGTGTGGTCAAGGCTGGAGAAGGTTTGGATGCCAGGGCTGCATCAAGTCACATCCTTCGAGGTGTTGTGCTCTGTGCTGCAGGGGTGGGAACAGTGGTGGGATTAGAACTACAAAAATTTCTACCATAAGCATGCCCAGCCAGCAGCCTGTGTCCCAGAAGAGGGACACAGGGAAGCTGTGGGACCTCTGCCCTTGGAGGTCTTTCCAACTTGATTGGATGGAGCCTGATCTGCCTCTTGAGTTGTAGATAACACTGAATCTGGACTTGTTTTGAGTGGAGACCTGATCCTGAGGTCTGCAGAGGTACTCACAGCCTAAATTACTTTGATCCCAAGATCAGCCCAGATCTGTCTGTAGCCTAGAGAAACTGGATATATAGGAGAAAACTTTTGTTTCTGGAACACAAGAGACAGGATACGGTGCCTTTTCATCTTCAGTTGCTCCACTTTCAAGCTTTCTGGGGATGGAAAAGAGTCTGGAGAAAGATATCGAGAGGGAACAACTAACAGGAATGTTTGTGAGACAGAAGCTTGAAACTAGATCTGTGGGGAAACTCAAGCATAACCCTCCCAACAGATCCCACCACCCTGGAAAGGGGTCTGGAGCTGTAGTGGATACCCAGGGCTCTGCCTGGGGCTGTGAGTGTAGAGGGAGCCGACACAGCCCTGCACCCAGGTCTTCTTACACAGCTTGTTTTTCCCGTGGAGGTGGGAACTTGTGTATCCAGGGCCAGGGGGAGGTTGGTGAGAAGATCCTGCAGTGTGGTGGGGCCTTGTATGGGGAGAGGAAACGAGAAAGTGAAGCCAGAACCTCGACAGGAGCTTTGGAAGAGCAGACAGGGTGCACATACACCAGAGTCTCCCTTACTGGAGAAGGGTATAGATCATGGTGTAACTCAGGTGGGAAAAGACCTTGGGAAATTTCTGTTCCAGTCTGGTACCCAAATCAGGGTCAGCTATGGCTCAGCCCTATATATTTGAGTCTTTGTCTCCTCCAAGGATGGAGACAGCACAGTCTCTTTGGGCAACCTGGCTGTCCTTGTGGGGAGAAGTTTCTCCTTGCATCCTCCATGTAGCTCTTCTCTAGTCTCATTTCATGTTTACTGTCTCTTGTCCTACTGCTGTGCTTTGCTGCAAAGAGTGTTTGATTCCATGAAGACACCTGTATCTTCTGCTCTTCATTTTTCAGGTGAGGTCCTCAGCAGGATGAAATTTGTGTAGAGGCAGCTTTTTTGCTTTCTGTGGGTGCTGTGGTCCACTTACCCAGGTGGAGAGGAAATGGAGCAGAGCAGGAAGGTGGTTGGGTGTCCTCACAGCACAGCTTGGTGTGGAGAAGAGTCAAGCTCTCTGCAGTAGGTGGGCATGAGAAATTGTATATCTGCCTTCCGCAGGGCTGTGAGGCAGGAGATGAGTTTTGGATTCAAGGGTTCAGAGTGCCAGGGATGGCACGTGGTGAGGCAGCGTCTGGGCTGGGAGGTGAGAGTGACCTGATGGCACTGCCCTGTGTGCCTGTAGACCTGTCTGTGGCACCACAGGGAGCTGTTGTCTGTACACAGAGCTGGGGAGGCTGCTCCATGTACGGAGACAGCGGGGGGCAAGCACAGACAACAAGTGTAAGCACCACTCAACTCTTTGGTGTGCTGACCTCAGTCAGATTTTTCCCTTCCTATCCTTTCTGAAGAGGTACGTTGTATCTTCCTTGTTCTTCCTGGTCCTGGCACATCCAGAAGCTGCTGCTATCCTGGAGAGAGCTGTCTCAGCCAGGGGCAGGTCTCCCCAGCAGCTGTGCTAACACCTCTCCCAACTCCCCCTTCACCATCTGGAAGAGGATCTGTACACCTAGGTGTGCCAGCTCCTAGTATTTTTGATAGCTGCTGGCTCTGCTTTCATTGCCTGCAAAGACTGGACTGTGTCACTTTGACAGTAAGCCATGCCAACCTCTTGGTCATTTGAGGATAGATGGGAGAAGAGCTGTCCTGCCTTTTAATGCCTTTCTTTCCTTGCTGTAGAAGCATTTATCAATGTGGACCAGATAATTTCATAGAATCGTAGCAGTGCTGGGTTGGAAACGACTCATCAGGATCATGAAGCCCAGCTCCTGTACCTGTGCAGGACACCCCAAGAATCATACCATGTTCCTGAGAGTATAGTCCAAATGCTTCTTGATCTCTGTCAGGCTTGGTGCTTGCTCCCTGGAGACCCTGTTCCAGTGCTCAGCCACCATCTGGGGTGATATCCAGCCTAAACCTCCCTCCACACCTCCATGAATCTTGTCATTGGTCATGAGAGTGAAGATCTTAGATGTCTTATGGCCCTTGTTCCTCTCATTTTGTTCTCTGCTTCAGCCCTCATGCCAGTTTAGAGTTCAGTCTAAATAAAGGTCACTAATGATGGTACAGGTTTTGAGGACGGTGCTTCTGAACTCAGATAGCATCTGTAGGCAGTTCAGGGAGCAAAACTCAGTGTCTGAAGGACAAGCCTGACAGATCTTGGTGACTTAGAATGCACAGATTGGGTAGGTTCAGTTGTGTTTTGTTTGCAGAGAAGGTCTAGATGCTTGTTCATGTTTCTCTTCTGATCTTTTATACCTACAAACTAGGGAAACTGGACATATCTAGATGGTAAATTTTTTTGCAGCAGGTACAGTGATGAGCTTGCTGCATTGAGAACCTGAGACATGGTCAAAAACTGCTTAAACTTTGGTCACAAACAGCTAGAAACCCTGGTCAGAACTGTGAAGAGCTACTGGGACCATTCAAGGGACTCTGTATTTGTGTGGGGTGGTCTGTGCTTCGAGCTTTTTTAGGCAAAACAAGATGAAGCTGTACCTGCCCTTTGCTAGTGCTGGCAGTGCTCCAACCTCCCGCTTGCAGCAGGCCTGGAGACTCCAGCAATCCCTTCCCACCAGCACTGCTGTGGTTTTGTGGCTATTCCAAGCTCTCTGAGCTGTTGTGTAGGCTCAGGTGCCAAGGGTGTGCTGAACACTGTGAGTCTGTCCTGGCTGTGCCTCGTGGCACTGAGATGTGCTGCCCCTGTGCCCATGTGTGACATGGGACTGCCTGACCACTGACAGAGGAAAATACGCTTGTTGTGTCCTTGGGGAGCTACAGGGTTGGGTCTCTCTGAGAGGATATGGGGATATGCCAAGGGGATGTGTTGGACAACTGGATCTCAGTATATGCTTGTGCCATGGGGATATGTTAAACATGTGGATCTCAATGGGTTTTTGTCTGGCACATTGCTTGTAATTCTCAGGCACCACCAAGAATAAGAAAAAAAATAATTCTTTAAGTTTTATTGTAAATATCCAAGAACCTTCCTTTTAGCAAAGTTAGTTGAAGTTTCAAACTAGTCTTTTGATTTCTGTCAGAAGAGTCCGATAAATCTGGATTGTAATCCTGTAGGAAACTCTTAAAATGTGAGCACTGATAGAAAACAGAAGGGCCTTGAAAATGCTCATTCCTCAAAGGACAGAGCCTCTCGGTTCCTCTTCTGCCCAAGTTCTGGTATAGTCAGGCCCTGAGCAGACTTTGAGAAAGAAGTGGACTGTACAGCCTAGGAGAACATTATATTCTGTATTGGAGATTTTTGGGGAATTTTTTGTATTTACTCTTCTACTTCACTTGAAATGGAAATAAATCTTTGCATTATTTGCAATGAAGTGTCTCTGAGTTTATTCTTTCAAGCCTTCCCTGTACTCCTGAGACTGGGAGACATACAGAGACATGTGCGACATGTGCTGCTCACTGCTTTTCACCCTGTCTTACCTTGGCTTTTCTTGGTCTGCTGGGTTGCTGAAGACATCAGAGCAAAGGAGGAGGGATGGGTCACAGGGCCAGGCCACAGGTGGTGCATCAAACTTCCACCACCCCGTGAGTCACCAGTCTGCTTTGAGGGTCTCCTGCCAGGCCATAAGCATGCCCCAGATACCAGTGCATGGAGCTCCATCCCAGCCACGTGTCTCTGCTAGAAAAGGCTGGGAAGGTTACTACCTATGGGAGGAACAGGAGCTCAGAGATGGGCAAGGGGATTGTGGTTGGCATTAATTACTCTCGGATGCTCCAGCATGGAGCTGGGCCAGCTAGAGGAGGTGTTACTGCTGGAAACATTGTGTTGCCTGTCCTGTGGCAGCAGCACCAGAAATGCTTGGTCTTGTCTCCTGCACCCCAGGCCAGTTAGTTTTTTTGGCTGCAGAGATGGAGTTCCCGCAGCCGCAGGCTGACACTGTGCTCACCTTATGCAACGGCAACATCTGTGGGAGCAATTCATCCAGCAGCAACCAGAGCTAATGAGGGGTGCCACAGGGGCAACTCCACACCTCAGGATGACGAGCTGGCTTTCATGTGGGTAAGATGAGGGCAGGTGTTGCCCCTTCTCCTGCTGAGAGGGTGGTGACTGGCTTCCTGGGGGTGTTTGGGGGATAGTGAATTCTG